TCTACCTGATAAGTTCGAGTATTCTCATCACTGGTTTGCTGGATGTGGTATGGATATCATAGAGTGAAGTTATATGTCAATTTCTTCTAGGAGTTAAGGGGTTAAATTACCACTCCAACCAGAGAGGATATCTCTGGGTGGGTTCACTCCACTAATGGTTATCAAACGGCCACCCCTAAATAAATGTGTTTTTTAATCACGCATCATCCCGTAGGTAGTAAAAGTATCTTAAATTATATCTTGATAACCTGTAAATTCTCTGTTTCCAAACCATTCTCTATCGTTTCTTGCGCAGAATCGATCTCCTCTTTGATCCCTTTTGCCCTCTGCTTTTACTGGTGATAACCTCTCGTTGTGCGCGTGATGGTTATCGTTGAATTCAAGGTAGTTTTCGCATTGAAAAAAGTTATCATCATAATCTTTGGTAAAATCTTCATCAACAAGTTCTGGGCGTCTTTCTTGGTCAGCTTCACGTTCTCGCCAAAACTTGTCGCCACGAGAATGCAAGAATTCCTTAAGTGTAAAAAGAGTAAAAGGATGTTAAACGCAGATTAACGTCAGTACCTGGACAACTAAGCACCTACCCCTCCCCTAACCCAACATTAACCCTACCTCGCGCAACAACTTTCGCAGTAGCTCAGATGCTGATTTTGATCCAACACGGTAATGTTCTTGATGAAGGGGAAAAGACTTTTCAAACATACTTGACAAAGATCGAGGTTAGAAAAGATTTTAGTGTTGGCTATAAGTCAGGATTGGAATGGAATCCTATGGATACATTCCATCACTTTAAAGAGTTTCCAGAATATTACAATTGTTGTGATTATTGCTGTTGCTTTTAATTTTGTGTTACAAATACCAGGGTTACATCCAGGAATATGGGCAGCTACCTCAGGTGTTTCCACAGTCCCTGGTGCCCACAACTGACAAACAGCACATCAAACACCAGAAAAATTACCCCAAAGACATTGTGCTGTCAAATTTTTGTGACAAAAACCCTTTCGAAAACATAACCATCAGTTTCAGCAGATTTTTGACTGTAAATTTTCCAAGTAAATTATAACACACATGCACAAACCTGTTCTCTTTCATAGAACCCCCTCTCTGAAAGGTTTTCACTGCTGCCTCTTAAGTTAGATTCCCACTCACTCCAGTCAAGGTCAAGTACTTGATATTGTCTTTCGCGTCCACTGTCACTACTCCAACGATCTTGTGAATATTCTTCATTTTTTTCTTGGTAATTTTTAAAATCATCATTTGTTTCATATCTGTCCATATAAGTATGTTGTTGAAACCCTCTGAAGTTATCTGACTCCTTTTTGAATTCCACGTGATCATCATAAGGCATGGAATTTCTAGGCAAGTGGTTTGTACTGTGGGAATTCTGCTCTCTGGTTGAGTTCTTGTGGTGTCTCAATGATTCTTCGGTTTCTTTGTCAGATCTTATATTGTGGTCCCATCTTTGGTGATACTTTTCATACGAGTCTCTGCTTGATCTTTCTGAGCGCACCATATTTAAAGGGGCTCTCCAAAAGTTCAGTCTCAGTTTATAGTTCAAGACATGTTTACCACTGAACCTTAAAAATGAAGTAGTGTTAATATTTTCATTTATGAAGTAGTCTGAATACAATATCCTTCCACTGTTAAAAATTTTAATGATCAAAAAGTGAATATTTTCCCATCTCATAAATAGGTTTATTTGTGATGCCCTCTTGATTTTCTAAAATGTGTCTATCCAAATAATTTTCTTCACTTCTGCTCTCCAACCAGGACAAAAATTATTGCCAATAAATCCAAATATTTTGATAAGGGTAAAATTTATGATAAATGCTTTCTCAAGGATACTTAGTTATGTTCATAGGGTGTGTTATGGAGCTGCTATTCAAGTACCCTTTAACCCTTAAACTCCCAAGATCTCCTTAGTAATTCTCCTTACTGTCTGCCATACAATTCATATGATGTTAGTTTGGAGAATTTGGTATTGGATCAACTAATAATCCCCTTATTGATATTTTGCTTTATTCTCATTACTTGTCTGCTTGATATTGTATTAATAGTGTAAGGAGAAATTCTGTCTTAGTCACTAGTGAGACTTAAAGGGTTTAGAAACTCAAACTGAGGATGAAATCCAATTAGCAGAGCTACTGGTGTTTGCCTGTAGCTCAAATATGACTAAGAAACTTGGTTATGTGAAATAACATTATCCCAAGCTTGATTGACTGCCGCTTAAAAGAAACAGACAAACCATTCGGGTTAGAACCTTATTCACAAATTCAAGACATTATGGTCTGAAAGACCAGACTCTGCTCAACTGCCTCCTATCTCCTGTTCCTCGAGTTAATTTTTTAACTGCTATGGTCTCTACATGTAAATTCTTCATTCTACCTCTTATTTAGTTCCTTCAAATTATGTTATGGAGTTTGGTGGTGTAGCGAAGATAACAGCCCCAAACTGATATTTTTCTTGATCCTCATTAATCATTGGCTAGATAGTGTAAAGATGTTGTGAGATGACATTAACTCTTTAACTCCCAAGATCTGATTGTTAATTCTCCCCTCTAGCTGCTACACATTTCCTGGTAAATTAGTTATGAGAACTTGGTACTAGATCTAGATAGCAGCTTCTACCAGATAAGTTTGAATGTTCTCATTACCTGTTTGCTGAATAATGTATATATATATATTTGTAGGGAGATGTTTTACATCAATCACTTCTGGGAGTTAAAGGGTTAAATGATTATCAGCTGTCCAAATTTAAGGGGTTAACGAGGAATGAACACTGTAAGATCTGATAATATTTTGCAGTTTATGCACTACTCAGTTGTATGTAACAGTTGTAACATCCATGGCCCAGTTGTTCAAAGGTCGATTAGCCCTAACCCAGGGTTGAATTTTAATTCAGGTTTCTTTATTTCTTTGACCAAGAGTCTTTTAGGGAAAATTTTCACCATTCTTTTTAGAACATCTAATGATCAAATTGGAAGCAAAAAGATTTGAACTGAATTTTCTCTTAAAGCTTTCAGACCTGAAATCAAATCTCACACTAACCCTGAGTTACCTTAACCCAGCTTTGAACAACCCGGGCCTGCAGGAAATTTGAAAAAAAATTGAAACAACTTCACTACATACCTTATTTTTTATGTGCTGGCACAACATACAAATTTAAAATTTTTTCAATTTTAGGTTATAATGCCCAACTCAAAAATGGCCTCATAAATGATATATGGAGAATAGTACAAGGGTGCACATAGATATGGTATTTCTCTTTGACTGTTTATACTCAATCTAAGTACACTGAAGGAGTGAGTTATTGAGTTGAACACAAGAAAATAAATTCTATGTCTACAAGCAATCATGTTTCATTTTTTTTCTCATCTAAACATCAAAGGCTTTTACTGACATGAAAACAGTACAGTCACAGCTTTTCTTGGGGCTGGAAATCATTGTTATGTAGTAAATTTTGGTAATTAATATGTAGCAGGTCATCTAAAGAGTTTGTTAGCCTTGACATTTTTTTGTTTCATTTCAAACCGTGTGATGACATGCAACTGATTATTTTGTTTGAAAATTGGTCATATCTATGGTGGTATGCAACCTAGATTTCCATAAAGAGAACGAGGCAGACCTCCAAAATATTTCAACAATTTGCAATGGACATTTAGCATACAGCTTGAATCAGATCATCTAAATAACTCATTGTAAAGACTTCATACGACTTAAATTAAATTAAAGATTTCAATCGTATTTTAAAATTCAACAAGTCATGTCAAGTTGGTTAAATATCAAAATTCTCTTTGTTATGGAAAACATCGACTTCATTGAAAACTCTCGTTACGGTGTCGTTGTAGTGTTAATTAACTGTTTTCACGGTCCTCTGGGAAACCTATCTGCAATGGCTGCCGCATATAAAAGACCTCCAGCATGTAAAATCACGCGATCACACATAATTAATTAAACATAGATAACGTAAACAATTACTTATAATTACAACTACCACTAAATTTTCATTCAAAGACCGGGATTTCCTCTCAAGAATTAGGAATGAGTCGAGTCTCGAGAGGAAGCGAACTTGTTATGTAAAAAACAGAAAGCACATGATAATGTTTAAAAGGTGCTTCTCTTGTAAATATGGTTGAATATGCTCTATGAGTACTCAAAGCTAAGTGACTATCTTTACTGTACGACGCCTACGTAAGATTACCTTTCAATGGCATTCTGCGCAGCTGCTTTGCTATCGAATTTTAGGACGATGAACAACCGACCTTTGTCTTTGGAAAGAGCAGTCATCTCCACGCAGCATTTTCCAACTCTGTCATTAAAATACTTCCTAGTAAACAAACAAAATTCAAGAAACACTCGATGTTAGTTCATATGAGGGAAATAAACACGGGACAATATCCGAGATTACTCCAATTGAAGTTATAATTAAGTCGAAGTCGTCACCTGATGTCGGACGCTGTGAAGTTCACGTTTGCGGGAAAACCTCGAATAAAGACGCAGTCTTTAAGCTCTAAGAAGTTATCGCTCGCTGAAGGCATTGTTTACAACTTTCTGAGGAAGATTTCAGGAAAATAGCCTCTCGCCACTATGATTTGCGAGAGATCCGCCACGCAGAACGGTAACACGGGTCTGTAGTATTTACAGCCGGATGTGAAATGAATAACCACGCTTCCCAGACTGTGACAATGACAAGATACTGACAAACTTATCACACCGGCCGTACGCACAAATCTCAAAAATTATTTCGCTTTGTTTAAGATTATAGATCTAAAATAGTTTTATGACATCCTTTCACACTGGGAAAAAGGTAAGAGTGATCTTCCCCTAACGAAAATGAAATTGAAAAAAAAATCCAGAAATAATTTCCCCTCTGATAACTTTCTAAATTTAAATCATTGACAATCAATCAAAAATTCGCGTACCCTCCCTAGCCAGGAATGATTTTGCCACCAGCCAGTCCTCTATAGAAAGTAACAGCTCTTCACCCTGCTCCACGTGGACTTCTTTGCTGTAGAGAATATGTCATCTACAAAGGCCTTAAGTCCTCGAGAATCGGCTGAACTGATTTCGTCCAAGAGCGAGGATGTTTCTATATGCGAGGAAGGTATTGAAGAAGCATCCAAGATCATCTTTGACTGTCTGAAGTCCAAGAAATATAGCAGCAAGACATGGAAGCAACACGAACTACATCCGAACGAAATGACGAATGAAACTGTGGATTGGATCGTTGTCTTGGACACCTTAAACTTCTGTTTTTGGAGCGATGATGGCGTCGAACCATGGACAGTACGATTCGAGGGAAAAAACTACACGGGGTATTGGGCTCTATGTGCATCCATTCACAGAGCCCTTAAGGTATGTTGAAATCTTTACAAGGTTGCACACTTTCGGCAACATTGAGCAACAACGAAACGAACCGTTCTGTCTGTGCTCGAAACAGATCGCACTCACTCTACTTTTGTCATTTCAGTGAAAAGCTTTCTTGTCTGCGTCATTCTGTTGCTCTAATTTCTCCATACCTTGTTCTAGAAATAACTTCGGATTAAAAATTTTTCGTCATCGCTGACTTTTGGTCGTAGGCATTTATTGGCGTAATTTAATTTACAGTAGTTGGAATCGTTGATCATTTATTTCGTGAAGATCAATTTTGACAAAGATTAAAGTGGTATTATTATAACGCTAGGCAGTATTTAGGTGAAACCGACTATGTAGGGCTTGAGGGAATATTTTCCCTTTAAAATGATACACAGATTTAGATAAAGTAGCACAAGAATTATAGTTTCTTTAAATTGATGAATGCATTAAGTCAGGTGAAAGGATATTACCTCACAAGTGTTTCCCACACAAGAACCACTGTTATGTCCCGACGTTGAGGGTGCTTGTTGCGATCGAGAGGGAAAAACATGATGTTTTCCTTTTCCCAAAATATAAACTTGTCTTTCACTCTTTCACTCTCCCTCACCATAGGATTTATATGTATATAGTCATGACCAGAATTGTTAGTATTTTTTCCCTGGATTTTGTGTTTGAACTGTTTGATTCTGTCTATGATAGGAGGGAATCCCCTTTACAACACCATCATATTATGCCAACATCACCAGAGAGAAGTTGCAACATATCTTCAGATCTGAAACTCCAACTGAAATACCATTGCTGGAAGAGAGAGTAAATAACCTACAGGAAGTTGGCAGAGTCTTGGTAAAAGACTACAAGAACTCATTTGTCAACATGTTGTCCCAATGTGATAACAGTGCAGGGAAGCTGCTTGGCATGATCACAAGCACCTTTAAATGCTTTCAAGATGAGTCTGAGTTTGATGGAAAGAAAGTCTCTATTTACAAGCGTGCACAGATTCTGATTTCTGACATCTGGGCCTGTTTTGAGGGTGAATCATTTGGGCACTTCAAGGACATAGCAGTCTTGACCATGTTTGCTGATTACAGAGTGCCACAGTCACTGCTGCACATGAATATCCTGAAATACACAGATAAATTGATGGAAATGTTAAATAGAGGTAACCATGTTCCTGCAGGGGATCGGATTGAGCTAGAAATAAGAGGAAATTCCATCTGGGCTGTGGAGAGAATTTACCAGAAAGTAAAAGCAATGTCAAAGATGGATTCAGAATTTAGTTCTTTGGCACCAGGGGAAATTGATTCGATTCTAAATTCTGTTATTATAGATTACTACTTGTGGGACTTTGCAAAAGAAGAGTTGGGTGGATTAACTGAGCTTCCATTCCATAAAACAAGGACAATATTCTACTGATGTTTTCTGCCTGACTGATACTTACTTGTATAAGCAGTTTCCTTTTTTAGCAAAAAATTTCCAAGAACATTAAAACAATAAGGGAAAGAGATGTTTTCAAAACAGGTTTTTAACCCTCTTCTGCTGGTGATTCATGTGCAACTTCTCCTTACAATATCTGTTCATCATCCAGCAAACTGGTAACGAGAATACTCAAATTTATTAGGTTTTTTTTCTTGATTTATCACCAACTTCTCATAACTAATTCACACAGAAATGTCAAGTAACTAGAGAGGAGAATTAACAATCAGATCTTGGGAGTTAAAGGGTTAACATATACTGTAACAGCTGAAGTAACGCATAGAGTTAAAATCTTGCAGAACAGTTTGAACAATGGTATAAACCCTGTAACTCCCAAAATCTGATTGTCAATTCTCCCCTCTAGCTGCTACACATTTCCTTGTAAAGAAGTTACGAGAATCTGGTGTCAGAATGAGATAACAACTATGACCTGATAAGTTTGAATATTCTCCTGACCTGTTTACTGGATAATGTTAAGTTACTATAGGGAGAAGTTACTTGTTAGTCACTTCTTTGAGTTCAGGGTATGGAATAATTCCACTGTGATATTTAAATCATTAAGTCGGACTTTTAGTGTTAGTATTAATTTACATGACAGCACTCAAGTCTTTTCTTTTAATATTTACATTTTATTAAGTTTCCATTACTCTATACAATACCAGATAAAGATGCTTTTACTTAAAACTTATATATCTGTTATTTAAAAATCTGTTCCTGTTTACAAATATATCTTGTGTAACAAACAAAATGTGGGGAGATTGAAAAAGGTTGAGTGGTGTTAAGAGCTCCAACCTTTAATGAAATTGTAAGAAAAAGGCTTCTAGAATAAATAGTAGGGGAGTTAATCATTACCAACATCTTAAGCCCTTTGTACTCAAAAATGTGATGAATCGGTGAACTGAAGTGGTTGTAGTTTAAGAAAATCTCAAGCCCTGTGCATGTCTCATACCATTTTTTCAGGAGGCAAGAAAGGGCAAGAAAGATTAAGATAATATACCACAAGTGCAATAAACTATGTCTTCACATTTTGTACAATATTTATATTTTGTATTAATATCCACCAATGTGGAGCGGTTCTCAATATAATTTTTGATATTTCTGATGTAGCATTGCCAAGAAAATTTACAGAATTATTTCCCCTAGTAAAAGTCACTGGAAATTTTTAGAGTGCAGTTTAGTCTTTGTTAAGGGGAATAATGTAGGTAAATTGCCCTCATAGCAATCTTATTTGTATTCTTTAAGGGCATGGGTGTGAGGCGTAATTACACTTCCTAGAGAGGGTAGAAATATCTCGTAAAAGAACACAAGGCAACTAAAAGGATTCACTGAAAATTACTTTTGATCTGTATCCAACTTTATCTTACTATTCTGACCCGAAGCGCAATCAGTATTCTAAAGCACAAACAAGCAAACATGAATCGAGAATCGAGAAGACTGTTAACCCTTTACACCCTAACATCAGTATGTTCTCCATACTGTTCTCTATAAATTTCTAAGGGTGCTGTCAAGGAGAATTTGTTTGACAATCAAGAGCTTTCTTGGTGATCATTTCCATTATTCTCATGACCTTAATGAGTGATTTAAGAGTGAAATTGTAAGGGGAAATTAGATCCTAATCACTCTTAGGGCTCATAGGGTTTAGCAAAATCTCAACTGTTTGAATATATGAAATCAATTATGGAGAGTTTCAGCTGAGAAAACAAAATGTAAAATACACTTTCTGGGTGTCTCTGTGACTGCATCGATAAACTGAATATCCAGAAAAATCCTTGTAAAGATTATATTACAACTTGTTCATTGCCCTCTACAGAAACAGATACCAGACATGTTAATTACATCTTCTGTTGTAGTAAAGAACAATGTGGAACTTCATGCAAACCTGAGCTAAGTTTTTGGATTCAACAAGTCATGCCTTTCTGTTCCATTCATTTTGCTTGTTCAAGCTTTTAGATGTCTACTTTGATAACTGTACATTGCAGAATACAATGCAGTCAGGGGTTTGGCATTCACTTCAAAGCTTGCATACATGCAAAATATTGACATCAACGCACAAGTTTAAATCCATGTCCAGTATCATAAACTGCTGGAGGAAAACATCGCATCTTCATTCTACGAAAGCCATGAGTGAACCAGTCAAATACACTGAGCAAGTTTGTATTGCATGGCAAGTGGGTGAATATCTTTGTAATTGGTTGGATAACTCTTGGAAAATTTTGCTCCACATGCTGTGCAATATCTTCCACTGTTGGCTCATGAAACTTAAAACAACACCATTCCCTTGAAACACCATACACTGGCTTAACTTTCACACTGTTTTTGTCCCAGTAATTTTCAGGTTTTGCAGCAGTGGTGTTGAAATCATCCCATAACTTTGTGAGCTCACCCAAGGGAAATGTATTTCCCTGTTCTTCATCAAAAGAAGCAGTTAATTTTCCAGTTTGGATTGCTATGAAGTCCTTTTCAACTTTCCACACATTATCTACCCATTTGTCTGAGTGAGCAGTGTCCAAAAACATAAGAAGCCTTGCTCCTGTTGATGAGTTTTTGTTTCTCCACCACTTCAAGATTGTTTCAAATGAAAGTGTTTTATTTTCTGTAAGAGCCCAATCCCCATCACTGGTCACATGTCCACTGTAATAGAGAATGTAAGTGTCATAGTGTAAGCCTGGAAGGATGCGTTGCTCAAAAAATGAAGTGATTTTCTTTTCAATATAGTCAGCTGAAATCCCACTTGTTGAAAAGTCTGTTCCAAAGTTGTGAATCATGTGACCAGAAAAGAATCTGGACACAATATTTATCAGTTCCATTGCTTTAGTATTGACTGCCTGGAAGGCATTTTCTACAAGAACAACAACATTACCACTTGAGCTGTACTTGTGCGCAGGTGCAACCACAGCATAACCAATGGCTGTTCCTCCCACAGACTTCCCAAGCTTTGTGAGGATATCATACAAAAGCAGTTCAACAGGAAGAATGATCAACAACATGCCAATGAATACTGGGTTTGTTTCCTGCCATGCTGATGCTATGATGAGAGATGTTGACGACAGTGTGTATAGTGTGACCATCTGTGACACCAAACAGAAGTGGCGGACACCTTTGGATGCCATTACCTCTGACATGTTATTGTCACTAAGCTCTCCCCTTGCATTCACCATGCTTGTGCATTCTTCTAGTTTTCCAACGAAACCCCAACAAGTTACAATAAACATAAAATGAAACACCACCCATGGTACGGACAAAAATACAAATATTGGTAGTCTGTAGACTGGAAGTTCAGGATCTTTGATAAGCTGAGAACTAAACATGTAAAACAGTGCTTCTAGAACAGTCACAGCAAGAATCTGCAATCTATGAATGCATCTACTTTGGAAGATAAACTTTTTCCATGTTTCCAAAAGGGACAGTCTAGAGAAATAAATATCAACCAGTGATTCGAAGGAAAGGTAGATGATAAAAGCTGATAAAATATATGGATTGTAGTTGACCTCACTTGCTGGAAAGTAATATGCACCACCGAAAAAGCAGAGCAAGGCTGCACTTAGAAGGGAGACACTTGATTTCATGTGAAAGGCCATTAAATGCATCATAACTGCAGAAATGATTGTCAGCATGCTACCAAAATACATTGTTCCAGTTGAACCTGAAAGGAATCCAAGGAGAAGCAAGAACTCTTCAGTAGTCATGAATTTCGATTCATACGTTGGAGAGGTGCATATCCTTTCAGATAAAATCCTGAAGCAATGTACTCCAGTGCTGGTCATTATGAGAATGTCTGTCGAGTCTAAATCATGCAGTGAGTCTATCAAATGGTCGAATGCAATCTCTGTGAAGGACATCACGCTGAAAAGAAAGCCTATCCACAGATGACAGAATCCTCGAGCAAAATCTCGGTAACCGTACAGATAGGCAACTAAAGAAAACAACACAGCGATGGCAACAGCGATGGCTAAAAAGTGAATGCTTCCATCCGTTGTATGATGCAACCAGCGTTCCCTGATCCCATTGGCGGCTCCGGCGAAGAAAAGAAGAAGGCATACAGCGGAGGAATATTTGGCGAGCTTGCTTGAAAGTTTCGGCAGCATGCCCATCAGATGAAATTGAAAGGGTCACACCTGTGTTAAAAGCAAGAGTTTCTAAATACTCCGCTGTTTTAATTTTCTCACGGAGGATTCTTGTAGAATAACTACCCTCCACCTGGCTACTAGAGCTCAAGCCTGTAAGTTCGTCTCTCGGTGTTAAGCTAAACGAGGGCTGGAAAGTGTCACAACATTGCCAATCATTTTAGCAGTCTTCTGACACGTCGCACATCCGCCATTTTGGTTATTTTGACATGTCTGCGCGCGTACCACTTGGGTTCGACTGCTGAAATACAGGCTCAAGGTCCAAGATGGCGGACGATGCGAGAAATGTTGATCAACAAAAACTCTCAGATATTGTGAAGGGATTACACAGTAGACTAAGGAAACAGTTGAGAAAAGGTGAAAATGTAATAATTAAAGCTGACTTGTGTTCAAATTTGATAAGTTATCCCTAAAGGGAATTAGAAGCTTCAACACAATAAAGGCAAACTGTTGTTAGCATTACCTCAAGTTTTATTATTTATTATTATGTTTCAGTTCATTGTTTTAATTATTCTCTTTTTCCTGTTCTTGACAAAGCTGATGGTGACTACCAAAAAGTGTGGGACCAACACTGTGCAGACAAGGCAAGATTAGAGGAATATGCTTCAGCTATGCACATGTTAGCTGTCAATCACTGGACAAAGCAGGCCCCTGAGGGGAGGGTTGAGTGGTGTTATCAGACTGCAACTGAATTCTTTAGAGGGGGAGGACTGAGGAAGCTTATGGAGAAGCAAAAGAGGAAACAACAGTTTCATGAAGATTTGAAAGAGTGTTGCTGTTGTTTTGTAACAGATGATACTGATAGATGTTCTGTGTCAATGTAAGTAAATTTATGTTGTTTTTTGGGTAGTCTGGGCAAACTTTCTTTAGTACATTTAATTGACATGATTGATTTAGACAGAGTTTTTGCTTAAAGGGGTTAAATTTCCAGAGAAATGATGATTTTTTTGTCTGTTTTTTACAAAATGGAGACTTGTTTTGTATTAACAGTTGAGAGTTAAGCTGTGATGTGATAGCACCTTGCTCAGGATGGCAGGGTGTCAGTATAAAAGGTTTAGGAGACATTTTACTCCAGAAGCAGTAGTTTTCATCTTGGCTAAGGATAAAAATTGTACAGTCAGTATCACAGGAACTGTATAGAGAAGAGTAGGGAGACAGGGTTGTAGATAAGAGCCGGCAGCCAGCGAAGTACAACAGCTTCTCTGCAAGGTTCCGCTGGCTACTTTCATTGCTTCGAGAGCCTGTACAGAGATGATGTTTATCAGGTCTAAACTTGGGCTCAATAAAAATATAAATTTGCACTGCCTATCTTTTCTGAAAACATAAAAAGACTTCTGACTCAAGGTTAGTTTAAAAATGTTCTGATGGGGACAGTCTTTTTGACAAATCTTGCTGCAGTGGCAGGAAAGTACGAACAATATGACGTTTTGTCCACCACATTGGATTTTGAGACCCACAACCATTTACCTTTAAAAAAGCTCTGGCTACATAAAACCTTAAAGAAAACCCTGGGGAGAATATGGATCCTGATGTTAGGGTGTATGTGGTTGATAAAATACAAATTTGTATGGAATGTAAATGACTTCAATGAGTAGCAACCCAGGAATAAGGTTGCAAAAATAGACTGCTATAAAACTACAAAAGAGAGGTTTGATTTAAATTCCTCAAAGTGTAGTCTTTTATTTTTATATGATTATGATTTGTCACCAGATATCCTTCAGCCCATGAAAAATTATTTCTCCTTGATGTTGGTAGTTGTTTCAATCCATTTGCTGTTTATGAAGATGTTTTTCCTATAGCTATTGACTTGCAACCGGCAGATTCAGTGAGTAACATGTAATTTTTTAAAATGATGTTTTTTGTCTTGTCACGAGTGTGAGACAGAGAAAAAATTCTGAGTTCCCTTGAGGAATCGAACCTCAGACCTTTGGATTCCGCACTCTGATGCTCTACCACTGAGCCACAGAGACTCTATGGTGAGCAAGGTCTATTACGAAATTCGTATGACATGTGTCCTGCATGCTGTTAGGATTAGCAATGTCAACAGCGTCATGTTGTAAATAGCATAAGAGAGATGGTAAGTTTTGAGCTTAAGCATCTTTCTATATTTCTTTACCAAGCTCAAAAATTTCCATCTCTCTTATTCTATCATTTTATATTTTTCTCTTGGTTTAAATTTTGAAGTTGCATTTCCATTTGATGACACTAATATTGTACAAATTTTCTTAATCTACTGGTATAAAAACTAGAAGTGGCTCAAAAAGGTAGTGTTTCAAATCTAAGTTTTTTCTAGAGGCAGGTAAATTTCACTTGGCACTTAGACTTTTTTCTTTCCCACACTGATGATATATCATTTAACCCTTTTCAAAATATACAATTTTTGTTTGGTATTTCACAGATAGTTTACCAATGTGACTTTCTCAATCTGGAAATTCAAGATTTGCCTCCCACAAGAAAAAAAAAATGTGCTTGTGTTGTCTGTATTAAAATGAAAGACAATGACTTGGAACCACAATGCTCCACAAGGGATCACTTTGAATTAAATTATGTGCACATGACAGGTTCTGGAAGGGAAAGCACTGAAACTTCACTTCAATCTGATAAACTGAAAGTAAACGATGACAATGCATACTCAGCGAGAGATTATCTTAAAGAGAAAGCTGAAATACTGCTTTTAAAAAGCTATTTAAAAGAAGGAAAACAAGTAAAGACTCTTCCTTCAGAACTGTTTCACATTGTTGTGTTCTCTCTTCTCCTGTCATATTTCCCTTCTGCTGCTCAAAGATGGACTTGTTGTCGCCAAGCGCATCAACTGTTACGACCAAATGGGCTTCTTCTCATTATCACACCAGACTCAAGCCATCAAAACAAGAACGCAGCTATGATGAAATCTTGGAAGACTGGGGTTGAGTCGTTAGGATTTGTTCGATGGAAGTATGAGAAACACACTCATCTTCATTGTATGGCTTTTCGTAAGGTGGCACCATGCCATTACTGTAACCGTGACAATGGCCATGCAGAAATGATGTACATTCCGCAAGATTTTCAAGAAGAAGAAGATGAGAGTTATTTGGGTTGTTCACAAAATGAAGAGAACGAGTCCGTCGTAATGGAGTATTTAAGTGAGCTTCCAGACTTATGAAAGAAACAACAACAAAAACAAAATAAAACAAAGGTGTCAAAATTGTTATTACTCGCGTTGTTTATGTTTACTTGATCATTTGATTATTAACAATTTTCTCCCATCAGTATCACCCTGAAAACAAACATTGAGCTCATGAGAATAAAGGAAACGATCACCAACTAAGGACGCTCTTGATTGTTAAACAAATTCTCCTCGTCAGTGCCATAGGAAATATATAGAACAGTAAGGAGAAAATGTATACTGATGTTAGGATGTAAAAGGCTAAATTATGGTTTGTTTGCATATTGCGGTCGGGCAGTTCGGAACTAATTAGATTGTGCTGGCGAGCAGAAACCGAGAAATGCTCAACACAGATATGAAAAAAAACAGAGTAATGCACAATCGTCTAGTCGAAGTTGCAAGGCTTTTTGTCTACGATCACATTTGTGCCATCGCTTTTTCATAATTGCTGTATATGTTTCTTTTTAATCCAAAATATTTCTCACACGAGAATCAACTTTAGTTCTCTATCTGTTATGCATTAAGCGGGCGATGCCCGTCCAGACGTTTCCGTTTTGCTTTGTTTAAAAATGGAGACCTCTCTCGCCCAAGGGGACAATATTGTGACATAAAACATATTGTGCAAGATTTTATTTACTGAAAATCAAAATACAAAAGTTTATATATTGCCAGCCAGCTTCAGTAAAAATAAAAAGTTGAAAAGAAAGACATATGCGTTCCTTTTTTTTTTTTCGTTTTCCGTTTCCCGATCAAAAAACAAAAATTTGCGCCTCTTGAAAGCATTTTTCATCCTCCCAAAATGGAAGATATCAGTTACGTTGAGCGTTCGTAGACATTCGGATTAAATCAGGTTACAATTAAAGATTAAGTTTGTTGAGCAGAACAAACTTGAAAACGTCAGGAAGAGAAGGTTAAGTTGAATACGTTTCCGATTTCCTTCACTAAACTCGTACGTATAATAATCATCATCATCATACTCGTAATAAAATGGTTCGTGTTCATGATGTTCACTTCGTTTTTTCCTCCGTTTCGCCATCATATATTCGGCTTTGGGTAAAAATGTCCGTGAGCGATCCTTCAGGACCGCGACTGCAAGCATCGCTTTGGTGGGCTCCAGTTCACTTTTTGCGGGAGAATTGATGAAAGCGACGATTATCTCTGCCACCTGCTTGCATGCGTCCAAATCCTGTGTTTTGATTGGTTTAAACATTACTGAGATGTCGTGGGTGTCCACGAGATCTGCGGTCAGCTGGCACTTGTCAAACCCACCAAACCGGTCAGACAGATTTTTCAGCTCGAGAAAGATGGGGTCGACCCGGTTGAGATCTTTTAGTGGTTGTACTTTGTCGTTCACGGCCATATCCCGCACTGCAGTATCCAGTCGAATGCTCACAGCAGTTCCTACAAGGAAAAAAAATAACCACTCATACGGATTTAATCGCCAGTGGAGATACAATGCCGCATTTTTTAACATGTCTGTTTTGCATTTTTATCGCCTGCACGGCAATACAGATTTAGTGGTATTCGTACTGCGAAGCGCTTTATTCGATTTGAGCGTTGGAAAATTAAAACTAAAGTAACCACGATGGTCAGTCATCACAACACGACCAAACGGCTTTTCAGAAGGTGCTCAATAAAAGTGAAAAAAAAACAAACTGTCTGGAGTGCTTAGAAATGGAGGTAACCAAATTCCTATTGGTTGAACGATTGTTTTACAACCGATTAGTCTTGAAGGTGTGAGTTAATCGTCTTTTCAACATTTTATATGTTAAACTGGTCTGTGGTCTGAAGGTGTGTAATTGTAACGATATGTTCTTTTCTTAATCACCTAATGATATGTTATTGACCTATTTATTTAGCAGTTAGCTTTTTTGACGTGAATAAGTGTTATCTTCCTATGTTTGAGGCACGTACGCATTTGATTGGCTAAAGTTTTCTGCGATTGATTTTGAAAATCGTGCAACCATCCTAAGCCAATAAGATGCCGAACGAAAATCAACTGCGACTTGGGTTCACGCGTTTTCCCGCCTTTATTGCCGTTCGCTTGCCTTGGCCTGTGTTTGGTTGATTATGTTACAAACTCTCATTTCGATTGGTTATCGTAAATCATTTGTATTTATCTTTTGACCTCCAATTGTCATCAGTCCTAGAGGAACCAAGAAAAACCGTTTAAACTTTGATAGAACTCTCACCGCACACGGGACAACAGCTTCCTTCAGGAATGACATAATTCTGACAGTCCACTGGAGCACATTTACCAATTACCTCAACAGTTTTACAACGGGGATTCACATATTCATGGAAAAGTTTCTTTTTGAAATCGATGTTGTACTTCGGATCAGCGTCGTCACACATTCCAGGGTAATCTACGTAGTTGTTGTGGACAGCAGCGTGACAGATGCTCTTGAAGGTCACGCCATTCACACCGCACATCTGGGAAGAAAAGAACGGAAAGATCATTGAAAGCAATTTCATCAGAGTGTTGAAAGCAATGTGGAATTGCATCGGTTTTGCTTTTCTTAGCTCTGTGATTGGTCGAGAGGACCTGCGTCATTCTTTTAACAAATCAGCAGCAAGACAACCATTTGTGCCTTCTAGATATTAGATAGCATGATTTGTGCAACTTGTAACGTGCACAAGCGCACAAAGGTATTCTCTTTAAAACCAACATACCTTCTCGTCATCCACATAACAGTCCAATTTACACTGTCCGTAATAAGCCAGAGAAATACCACTGGTGAACATGGTACACCTGTTCGTATAAGTCTTTTGGTCCTCACCACATATGACTTCCTTCGGTGCTGCACTGCAGTTCACTCTGGTAGAGACTGGAAACAGCAGGAAAATGTTGCAAGACTTTTCATATAATAACAATAATAATAATTATTATTATTAATTATCATTTGTCTACTGAAGGCATAATAATAATAATTTCATATTCTTATAACAATAGTAATATTTACATTTTCATATTCAAAAGTAACCTCTCTGCATTGAGACGAAAATTGCCAAATTTTAAAGTTTAAGTCAGAAATATAATTTGATACCATAAATAAAATGAATTCTCTGCTTTATTGGAACTTTTCTTTATTTTGTTTTTTGTTATCTTTACAGATTGGTATGAACGTTTCAATTATTTTCATAAAGATTGCGTTACACCGGTGTTTAAACATTTTCCCTTGGAAGGTTTTTGCGGGAAATCGGCGCTCGGCTTGCGCATGCTTCGCGGCCGGCAGTATAACCCGAATTGGAACCAATCAGAGGGCAGATAGAAAATAGATGCTAAATACAATATATATATATATATATATATATATATATATATATATATATTTATTTATCATGAAAATAACAGAATTTCTTACCACACTGATGTTGTGGGCATTCGATACTGTTGCCGTCTCTGTCGGTATTCGTTAGACAAGGACCTCTTTTGTCAGCGACACAAATCTGATGCTCTCCGCACTTGACGTCAATGCAAGCGGACTGTAAGAAAGAATTTAGCTTCGGGTAAAGTTTTGCTTTGATTTGTCTGCTGAAGGCATGCATTAGACCGAGAGAGTCTCAATCTATCTTGGTCTGATATAAGTTATGCAACAAAATTTTCCTCTTCATCTCCTCAATCAAAACCAGTTTTTACTATCCAACTGCACAAAGTAGAATACAAATAACGCGCGAATCGAGTGCAAATATCCTGCGACATTGCACGGTAATTTGGTTATTTTGCACTGTTTGGTTCCTTTGTACTGTAAAAAAAGCTGTTTAACCAGTCGGCTCCGCGCTCCACGCATCTCTATCTGCTTTGCTTTTCCCTCCTCAAGAGAAATGGACAGAAAAGCTTAGCAGAAAAAAAAAAGCCGTTGGATAATAATTGACTTATTGGACGTTTTGGTGTGTAGTATTGCTGAGTATTTTTACTCGTTGTTTGTATTTCGACTCGCCTTACGGGCTCGTAAAAAATACGGCACAGCTCGTAAAAATACTCAGCCATACCACACACCAAAACGTCTAATAAGATACATTTACTATCCAAATAAACAAAGTAGAACGCGTGAAAAGAGTACAAATGTCCTATGATATTGTACAGTTGGTTATTTTGGGATGTAAAAATCCTTTTTAACCGGTCGGCAGTGCGCGCAGCACTTCTCTATCCGCTTTTTTTTTCCTGCCTTATACGAAATGAGCAGAAACACTTAGCAAGAAAAGCAGTTGGATAATAAATAACTTAATGGACGTTTTGGTTTGTAGTATTGCTTAGTATTTTCACGACTTTCTGTTGACAAGAAAAAGTAATATTCATTAGAAAAATGTGTGCTTGTTGACAGCAGCTCAGATAAGTCTTAGCGCATTTTATTGAAGACTTCAAAACTCGATAGACTTTGCCTAAGTTCTGGAAAGAATGCAGACATACTTTTTACACCAGATAACTAAGGCTCAGTTTGAAAACGACCGCTAACCCCCCTACACCACAAAGCACTTACCAAGCCTCCGCACTTTCCTCCTTTCACATCATCCACTGTAAACCCGCCGCATCTTAGAGCATGGCACATTGAACGGTACGTTTTCCAGTTGGGTCCACAGACAGGTGCTACAGGTTCATCATCGCATTCCATACACGGGTCCTTGCCTCTGACGAGCCTTTCATTCATCATCGCTTTTTGAGGTTCCCCTGGGGTGTATTGTTTACCAAAAAGCATCTGGTAATTGGTGTAGTTGTAATCCGAGAAAAAACACCGAAGACGCGTACACAACAACTCTCCTGAAAAGTGAAACAGTTGAACAGTAATTTCGTGGAAAATTAGGGGAAACTTTTTTGTGGAGGTGGAGGGGGGGGGGGGGGGGGGGATGTTAACCCCATCTTCCTGCCACTATTATTCGTCCAAGAGAGCATGCGCATAACTTTCGTGACCCGTAACCGTTTTACTTAGTCTCTCTTCAACAATTGTCAAATTTCAATTGGAAAAATTTCTTTGGAGCCGTGTGTTAAAAATTTTCACAATTTTCAGGTTGA